ACATGCTCCACTTGACGTCCCAGTATTGGCAGCAGTAGTATCAAAGCACATGCCTATAATGTCTTCACTAACGTCCCATAATTTGAGCAACTGAAAAGTTGCATTGGCCTGTGCTTGTCCCGTGCTTGATGCAATTTTAACAATTCCTAAGATTTTCTCCACATTACAGCCAGTCACAACAACAGCCAGTCTATCAGTTCTGGAGTGTGGATCATCATTCATGATCTTCCCATCCCAGTGAACCAGAAGGGGATTTCTGTCACGATCCTGAAATTGTTGACGAATACTGCTGTCAATGGTTGATCGATGTTGCTGTCGTTTACGATGAACTGTGGAACGTGACAGAGATGTATCCCTGATGTCTTGCCCACTAGCTTGTGCAATGGCTGCTGCTAATACTGTGAACTTTCTATCTGACAGGTTTATTCTATCCAGTGCTGAAGCAACATCTGGCGACGACAACATATCCTGCATAGTTCGTGTTTTTTTGCTGGCACTGCTTGACAGACTGTCTTCTACTTCACTGATCTGCTTTTTGTAGTACACTGGAATTTCAATTTCATAGTTGTCCTCTGTGTCCTGCTGTTCACTATCACTGTCATCAGAACTAGATAAATGTAGTGAGGTACTCTCTGTCATCCGCTACTGCTCTCGCTCTTTTCTCTCTTCTTCTTTGCATTTACGTTGTTCTGTGCGCTCTTCTTTCTTGGTTAGGTCTTTATCAATGCCACTCATTTGCATTCGTCGACTGCCCTTCTGGTCTTCAAGAAATTCTATATCTTCCTGAATTCGGATGAGCTGCATGGCGTGTTGGTGAGCAATATCAAACAGCATGTGCTCCTTTTCTTCAAATTCCTTCTCTCGTGCTCGTTGTGCTTCACTTTGTCTGTTTTTGTTCTTTTTTATTAGCTTGTAGTCATCAACTACCGATTTTACTTTTTCTACAACATGAGTATGGTAGGTTGTTGGTATTCTAGCCTTGTTCCACATGTCCATGACCTTATCTGACGACAGTTTTGCACTTTCAGGCACAGTTTTCTTTTCTACTTGATGATAATAAAAAAACATTCTCAGGACATCACCTGTTGTAGGCAATACATTTACTGGAAGTTCACTTTGTAACTGTCCAATCAGCCATATGTTAGTCATGCTGCGTGTTGTAATAGCACCACAGTTTGAATTAGAAGCCATTTTATACGTAGTTAAATATGTACAGTACCGGTATTTCAAAATCATCTCAAATTACTAGTAAATCGACACAGTTAAATTATGCAGATATTTACCCTATTTTACTTTTTGCTGACAACAAATATGGTGACCATAGAATATTTAATAATAATAATGCATTTTAAAATATCTAATATCTATGTTTTGAATTAAGTAAGTAACCAACTTTTGATACTTTTCCAGTTATATTTGTATTTGGTTTCGAAATAATGAATTATCACATTTTTATATAATTTTTAGATGCATGAGCAACCTCTAAATTTAATTTGATTTGTCTTATTTTTGGTTTGTAAGTTTTTAGGACCCAATGGAAACTTTTCAGAGGGTGTGCACTCAAATCAGACAAAAAATTTGTTTCCCCATTCAAATGTGAACCACCCTAATATACATACATAAATATATATATATATATATATATATATATATATATATATATATTATTGGCTTATTGGCTTGGTGCAATGCAACCGACATGAAACTAAGAATCGACAAATGCTCAACATTCGGCACGAGGAAAAAAACGGTTTCCTTCCGATGCTGACCATCGATGGAAAACCAATTCCTCAGGTCGACATAGGTGGACACTTTGTTTATCTGGGCAGGGTCTACGATTTTGAAGGCAACAACAGTAAGGCTAAAGAACAGTTGGTTGGAAAACTGAAAAATTTGTTGTCAGTGATAAACAATCACGACACTACGGCAAACTGGAAACTACAAATTCTACGTAGATATCGATATATACCGTTGCGATTGACATTTGAGTTGCGGACATACAACATTTCCTTGACTTGGATAAGCAACTGCCTTGACTCTCTCATTGTTGAGTCGGTGAGATCATGGCTATCGCTGCCAATCAACAGTTGTGTAGCAGAATGCCTGTCCCTCGCTTACAAAATGGGAGGCTTAAACATTAGGTCTCTCAAACACTATGCCGAATCTTTGCAGATCAAATTACGCAATTATTTAAAAGCACATGGCAATGATGAACTGAAGTGTTTGTGGTCCGAATCGTTCAATAACTATATTGCGATTGACAACCAACTCTCTGATTCGAGCGACACCAAACCGATGATGAATGCGACAATGCTTCGACAACAAAGTGCAGAATTTGCACAATTGACCTCACTCCGTTGTCAAGGTACAATAATCAAAGCAATCAACAATGAGATTCCTGCATCTCGAATTGCTCACTGGTCACGTTACATTACGAGCCTTCCAGAGGTTCTGTTCAGATTTGTCCGGAAAGGTTTAATTCAACAGCTGCCGGCAAATGCCAACCTGTCCAGATGGGGAGAGTCTTCCACTGCCTAGTGCTCGTTATGCAAAAATATGCAAACCAATAAACATGTGTTATCCAACTGCAGCTTAGCATCGACATTGGATAGATATACAACAAGACACAACACAATTTTAGCAATAATCCTCGACAAGTTAAAATCATGCGCCAACCCAGACGTCTCCATTTTTGCTGATCTTGAGACAGGCGATTTTCAACCACCATCACGCTTATTCAAGACATTGCGACCAGATATCGCATTGCTACGCGGCAAATGTTGGAAATCCTGGAGTTGACAGTCTGCCATGAGACTAACTTCTCCAACTCTAAAGACTACAAACAATTAAAATACTCTAATAGCTTGAAAAATAACTTAAACGACGACTTAAAATATTTAAAAATAATAATAATAAATACATTTGAAATATCTACTTTAGGTCTCCTTAAAACATTCAATCTTTCGCTAATAAATATTATTTGGACTGATTATTTTTGCAATAACCTTATAAACTCTGCTATATCATCGTCGTACGCTATCTATTTCGACAGAAATGTGAATTGAATCAATTTTAAAACTAATTAACTCTTATCGTACTCTCTCGATTCGAATGATGAGCTTCGCATATTAATACTCTATTTATTGCATTTGACATTTTATTTTATTTCATTATTTAATTTTATTTGTACTACCATTTTCATTAATTTTATTATTATTATTGTGATAGGAACACGATTTGAACATAATTTAATGCTGATTCCATTTCTCTCTGTGCCCATTTAAAATGTATGGCGAGCATCGTAGAATATCTATGTAATTTACATTATAAGTTTTATTATTTTAACTTTATAATTACAATGTATGTTTTAAAATGAAAATAAAAGGATGTTCTCATTAAGGACAATATATATAACGCCCATTCAATGTTTTCACAGGCGCTCCCAAAAAATAAAACTTAATTATATACGTGGCAAACAAAATAAGTACAAAATCAAATTCAATGCAACTTCAACGAAAATAAAAATGTCTTTAAATCTTTTTTAAATGATTGATGATGAAGCCCAGGTTTTCTTAGTAATGCAGGAAGACTGTTCCAAACAATTCCAGCAATTGCAATATCACGTGATCCAATCTGTAATCTTGCCACTGGCACCCTTAAGAGATTCGTATCATCTGACCGAAGGCAGAAACCAGATGCCGTCCCTTTTCTGGTAAATTTATTGGTCATGTAATCTGGTGACATTCCGTTTAATGCCTTGAACATGATCACACCAACTTTAAAGATTATCCTCTTATCAATCGTCAACCAGTGCAAATCATTCAAAATTGGCGTAACGTGATCAAACTTAAATTTACCGGCAACTAACTTTGCAGCTCTATTTTAAACCGATTGCAGAATATCAATAGATTTATCAGGTATTTTATACAACAAGCTGCTGCAGTAATCAAACCGAGATTTAACCAACGCATCCACCAAAGTTTCCAAGTTTCCAGTGCTTAATTCTATATAAATTCCGGAGACAAGAGATGCATGAAACTGATCCTTCATCAATAATAATCTACTATCAAGCAAAACTCCCAAATTGGTAGTAGCATGAATAAACGGTATGTTAACATCATTTACTGATAGAATTCACATTTAATTTTACCAACTGCTGCCATCTGCCAACCGGAAGCAGCTGAGTCTTGCACTGATTGAGTCTCAATAAGTTATATAACATCCATTTTCCAACCTCCGCTAAGCATTTGGCAAATTTATCAACCTCAGCCTTGAAAAAACCAGGATGACCAGTCACCATTATTTGAATGTCATCCGCAAATGCATGGCAGGTAAATCCATGAGAATTGATAATATATACATTTGATGTATATAATATAGACAGAATAGGTCCGAGAACAGATCTGTTAAGTACCCCTGTTTGACCATTTTGACCATTATATATATATATATATATATATATATTTATATATTTCGGAACGAGGTTTTCTTTAATACAAACATTATTGAAGATATATGCCCATTTTGCATTAATGACTTTCTTTAATGAACACTCAACAAGTCTGAATTTATTAAACTCGTATTTATTTAAAACAATAGACATGGTAAGGTTAACAGCCATTAAAGATCATATGCTCAAATCTCACGGTTTGCCACTAACCAGAGCATTACTTGATGTTAACACGAAAATACTTGAACGTGAATCTCACCCAGTTCGCCTCAAAATTAAAGAAGCTTTATACATCTACAAGAATAAACCCGCTATGAATAAACAATTTAACACATTTGATCTCTACATCTTTACTCCCAGTCTAGACATGATAGTCCACAACGTGCCGTTCATACCAATATCCTAGAACCACCAATGTTGCGCCACTTCGAATACGAGCCAACGCCAAAAGAAGCGATACTGTTTAATGGTGAACATGTTACCACTCGTCATAGGACTAATGTTTCCGTATCGCTGGTTTCGTTATTCGACAGTGCATCTTAACATCCATATTAGCTGTGATACATTACAATTACTTGTTTTATTTTTATTTTATTTTTTCATTTTATTTCATTTATTTTATCTTATTCCATTATATTTTTCATAAATAGTCTATATTCCAATTTAATCTAATTTAGTTGTTTCATTTACGGATTTGTTTATTAAAATTTCTTATATATCATTATAAACTTAATAATTAATTTTGACAATTTTCCATATTCTTTCCACACATGTCTTCTTTTCACATTTAACTAACTTATTTACGTTTTATTTACATCATCCGATTTTAACAAGTTTTCACCGAACTAAACTTCAGTATTAATTTATTTGTTTTAATATTTAATTTAATACTAATTTACTAACTTTTTATATACATTTATATTTTTAACCATAAATTTAATTTGTACATGTTTTGCATTGTTTTCACTAACAAAGGTTTCTCGTTATTTTCTTAATAATTTTATTACACATACATTTAATATGCATTCTAATTTTATAAAAATATTTCATGCTATTCTTATTTTCATAGGCTCTGAAGATGGACTTCCCGAAACAGCGCTGTTAGCCTTACCATGTCTATTGTTTTAAATAAATACGAGTTTAATAAATTCAGACTTGTTGAGTGTTCATTAAAGAAAGTCATTAATGCAAAATAGGCATATATCTTCAATAATGTTTATATATATATATATATATATATATATATATATATATATATATATATATATATGTACGTATGGCTTTGGCGTTGCACGTTGATTTTGGCACTTAAAACTTTGTAGAAATTCTTAGGATTAATTACGTATTACGTTTTTTAGCTAATAATTGTATATATTCGCTTCATTTAATTTAAAAAATTGAAATATTGTTTGTTTTGTTGAATTTAATTTGTGGAATAAGTAATTTAAACATTGTTATAATTTTTGTTTTTCATTTTTTAAAAAAGTCACCTTGACAACTGTGTTGTTGTGCCTGGATATTTTGTTTTGCTGCAAAAGATCATAAATAGTTTGGTTTATTATTTTCATTGTTTGCCTGTGAAGCATTATGTTAAACGTTCGACTACTAAAGGCATCAAAAATGGTGTTAATAGCGTTACATGCTGTTTTTGTGATTATGTTCCGCCTGCAGAAAGTGTACCTAAAGACATTCTGCCTGCCATGAACAACTGTAGAAATCTCAGATACATTTGCGATGGTTGCCTCAGGTCTTTCGATGGTTTGAAAACATTGACCAAACCAATTCTGGATAAAAATGATGAAATAGAATTGGAAATTAAAAAGATTTCTGAACATACAACCGCGTTATGTAAAGATTTTTGCAAACTAAAGCAATTGGTAGTAGCAAATGGTGATAGGTTGAACCAGATCAACAGCGTCGACAATACGCTCGATAAATCATTTGACAATTTCAAGCAGCAGATGAATGAATCTTGGACTGGTATAGTCAAACAGGGTATCGATGCGGTTAAAAATGACGTCAAGGTTGTGCAGCGTACCCTCGAAGTGGTGAATACTATCAAAGAGAGAGAAAACAACGTCATTATTTTTAACTTAATTGAATCTAATAGAAAGGACAATGATTCAGTTTCTGCTATTTTGCGCTCTCTCACTGATAACTCTATCAAGGATGATGATATTTTAAGAGTCACCAGACAAGGGAGGAAAATTGATGATTCAAAAACTCCACGTCCAGTTATTGTTAAATTCGCCAGTTTTGTCATCAAAAACAGAGTCATGCGTAGTATTTCGAAAATTAAGTCTTTCGAGGGTGAATTCAACAAAATCAAAATCAGTCATGATCTAACACGTGATCAGCGCGTTGAGCTGCGAGAATTGATTGCCAAAGCTAAAACTAAAGAAGCTAATGATGGCCATTGGAAAATAGTAAAGCTTCAAAAAAGTGCAATCATCTAGTATTAAATTTTGGTCTTCTTAATATAAGGTCTGTTATAGCAAAGTTTAATGTTGTTTATCAATTGTTATCTGGTGGATTGGACATTTTCCTTTTGTGTGAAACGTGGCATGGTTTTCCTGAAGATCCTTCTATTCAGTTGGCCATGCCGCCAGGTTTTAGCTTCTTGCAAGTGTTGAGGCCTCATGATCCTTACCATGGTGGTCTTATTGTTTTTTTCAAGAAGATGTTCAAGGCCAGGAAAATTGAAGTTCCGGTTTTTCAGACCTTCGAGGCTATTATAGTTGAATTTTCTTTTGAGTGTCGCAAAGTTTTTGTTTTTGGTATTTACAGACCAGGTTCAAAATTGGTCACATCTTTGTTTTTTGGTGAGCTGACATCGGTGTTGGAACATTTATTTGCATTGGGTGATGGTTTGATAGTGGCTGGGGATTTTAACATTCATATTGAAAAGCCTGGTGATACACACTCATTTAATCTGCTTGAAATATTTGATTCGTTTCAGTTTACAAACGTGGTTAATGAGCCTACCCATAACTTGGGTGGCACACTTGATTTATTTGCGTCCACTCCTGATATTCCTTTGTCTAATTGTAGAGTGGATCCCAGTGGTGTTTATTCAGATCATGGTCTGATTAATGTTTCATTCTCGGTCAGTGTCAGGCTACCATTGACAACAAGGCGGTTGGTACGCTCTTGGAACCGTTTGGATACACATCGTTTTAAATCACTAATTTTAAACTCTCCAATCAGTGGTCCGTTTGATAGTGATGACGTGGATGATGCATTTGTGTTGTTTGATCGTGAGATGAGGAGGGTTGTTGATGAAGTGGCTCCACTACACTATGTCAACTCTAAACATGTGCCATTAGCCCCTTTGTTCGACGGAGAGTGCTGGGTTTTGAAAAGGCTATGTCGCAGATTAGAACGGGTTTATCGAAACAACCCAAGTGATAAAAATAAGAATATCTGGCGACAAGCTATTAAAGATAAATATTGCTTGTTTGTCAAAAAGAAAAATTGTTATTGGAAAGACTTGATGGAATCAAATAGCAACAAACCAAAACGTCTTTGGAATGCCGTTAACGGTTTGCTTGGAATGGAACAGGTAATGGATGTATCAGAAGTTGATCATAGTTCTCTTGACTTTTCCAAGTTTTTCAAAAGCAAAATTGATGATGTTCGTAATTCAACCAATCATTGTGATGAACCAACATTCACTCCATGTGATCTTGATGAAGCTACATAAAAAAAGTACTGACAGCTACATAAAAAAAGTACTGACAGCTACATAAAAAAAGTCATTTTAGAGTCTCCATCAAAATCTTGTTTTCTTGATTGTGTGCCCACAAAAATTCTTAAAAGATTTGTTGATTTGTTTTTACCGTTTTAAACGTTTTTCATAAATTTGTGTTTAAGTTCTGGCTCATTTCCATCAGCGTTTAAAAATGCTGTTGTTACACCGATTTTGAAAAAGAATTCTCTTGATAGACATGAGTTAAAAAATTACCGACCTGTATCTAACCTTATGTTTTTGTCAAAGTTGGTTGAAAGAATCGTTTTATCACAATTTGCTTCTCATTTGAAAATTCATAATCTTCTGCCGGTTCACCAGTCGGGTTATCGTGTGTTTCACTCGACGGAAACAGCTTTAATTGATGTTTCGTCAAGGTTGTATTCATCAATGGACGAACAAAATGTGTCATTGCTTGCTCTCTTGGACATGAGCTCGGCGTTCGATTGCGTCGATCATGCAATACATCTCAAAAAACTGAAGCAAACATTTGGACTATCGGGAGTCGTTCACAAGTGGTTCGTGTCGTACCTTGCTGGTCGTACTCAACAAATTTTATTCAAAACAAATTTGGCAGCTGTCGATGCTTTGTCATACGGTGTACCACAGGGTTCCGTCTTAGGTCCCATTCTCTTTTTGCTTTATACAGCAGATGTCTACACAATAATTGAGTCGTACAATTTCAGGTTTCATGCATTTGCTGACGACATCCAAATAATAGCCAACTCCTCTCCCTCGTCGTTTGGTGATGTAGTCGATGATTTAGTATCGTGTTTATCAGCCATTGATGTTTGGATGATGAGGCACAGATTAAAGTTGAACCAATGCAAGACCCAGTTTTTGCCTGTGGGTACATGGCAAAAAGTGAATAGAGTGGGTATCAACACTATCAGAATAAAGGAATCTGTCATCGAATTTTGTGCGTCAGCCCGTTCAACAAAGAATTGTCTTCAAAATTGCCCTACTGGTGTATAAAAGCATTAATGGATTAGCGCCGAAATATTTAATGGATCGAATTGTTCCAAGAAATGCACCGTTACAGTGTCAGAAGTTACGGTCAAACGATTTAGATTTGTTAACAATTCGACAAACTCAGCTTGTTGTTGGTTGCAGAGATTACGATGTTATGGGACCGAAGATTTGGAACAGTTTGCCGGTTGACTTGCGAAATCGTGGGTTGTCAATTACTGAATTTCGAAGAAAGCTAAAGAACCATCTTTTCAGACAAACTTTTCATGATATGATTTGATTGAAGTGAAACATTTAATCAACTTTTGCATTAGCGCATTTAATCAACTTTTACATTGTTAGCGCATTTAATCAACTTTTACATTGTTAGCGCCTTTGAGAACAATAAAGGGCGCTTTATATATAAATAATCTAATAATATATATATATATATATATATATATATATATATATATATATATATATATATATATATATATAATAATCTAATATCATTATCCACCTTTGTCAACACGTGCATTTTAAAATTTCCTGAACATGAATACCGACATATTCACATGAACATTTTCAGAACATGAAATTCTAAATTACTCAATTACCGCCAATGAAAATGAAGTATTATTCTGACGGGTAAAAATGGTATTCTATTAAAAAATATATCAGAAAATTCAAAATTCAAAATTCAACGTAAATTTAACCTTTTTTATTCTTTTACCCTGCACTCCTAGAGCATCTTGGTTAATGCAATAGCATACTGATTCAACAATAAAGATTGAGAAAATGGTTCAATATTTCTTAAATCATTTGACATGATCAGAGGAGACGCCATAATGCACCACAAAGCCATTTGAGACTTTTGCTGTTCCATACTCAATCCAAAATTGCCAATTATAAGCTGAATAGAAAAACATATAGCGTAGAGTAATTAACTGACATCATATATTTGTTAATGTTACTTTACAACTAACCATATCTGGGTCGTTAAAATTTCCTGGACCAGCATGTTTTGAAAAATTAGTTTTGTCATCCCCATAGAAGTTGATAATAGAAGTCACACTTTCCCAAGAATCTTCTATGTCGCCGAAATTTCGCCACAAATTACAATTTTCGGCAATTTTCGTGTAATTCGGCTTTGTAGTGTAAAAATTGTATTTCCATAATAAAAAAAATAATCACAATTATTTACAAAAATTTAACTAGCAATTATGAGATTGATCACATTTACATAAAAATTAAAAATCTAAATAGCAAGCAATGTATGTCTTGGATACTAAAACAAAAAATTATGCTAAATAATAAATAATAAATGTTACTTATAAAGCGCCAATGCAAGCGAAATTAAGAAAATTAATAATAAACCACGGCAAGTTATTTAAAACAACATGAGTTCGAAAAACAAATTTACAAAATTAATATTATAGTTAAAATGAAATAATAGTAGTTAATTTAAAAATAGCGTATAAAATTAATAGATGATTTAAAATAATAAGTATTTAGAATAGATTTGAATCCACAAAAGGAGCTAGAATTTCTGATGTTTGGAGGTAGAGAATTTCAGACAGTTGTAGCAGCATGACGAAATGCTCGTTTCCATTGTTGGTTGATAAAATATTTTGAAGAAGTGTGGGTGCTTTGGCAGAGCAAAGATGTTGATTGTTCATATTTAGATGAAAAAGACAGTCGAGGTACAACGGCGAGTGCGACAACAACCTGAAGACAATGAAGGCGATTTTATACTGAACATGGTAATGAAATGGAAGACAGTGAAGGCTTTTTAAATTAGATGTTACAGATGCTAGACGGTGAGGTGGTGTATCAATACTGAGCACAACTCTGGCAGCCAGATTTAACAGCCTCTGAAAATGTGTTTCCTGCTTCTGAAATATGCCAAACATTATTGATTTACAATAACCGAGTTTGGACAATAACAAACAACGTACCCGATTCCCAGTTATTAACACCTTTAAGCTTATAAAGCATATCACTAAGTTTTTGTTAGATGGTGAATGATTAAAGCACATCAGAAGAAGCTGCATTTGCATATATGTTGCAAGCCTTCACGGCTTCCAATCCAAATAGACTGACAATTTGTTTTCGAGGTCCATGGTGCCAGGAAGGTCACGAATGGGATAGTAACTCCACATCGATAGACTTAGTTATTGACAAAATTTTATAGTGAAACGGGGGTAGTTTGGTAAAGGAAAGATTTGTTGAGTACAGAGCATGATGTAAGCAGGGCTGTAGCGGGGGGTATACGGTGGTATACCCTGTGGTTTTTTCATAGAAATTCGTATACCTTTTGGTTTTGCCTAGAAACATCGTATACCCTCTGGTTTTGCCACAAATATCGTATACCTTCCGAATAAAATGCGTATGACTTCAGAAAAAATAATTCTTCCTTGAAGTTATAATTGTAAATTATAATAAAAATAGGTTCGGCTCATTTTCTATCTTTGTAGTTTTTGATAAAAATCAGTTTCCATAGTGACATGGTTACCGTAAAAATACAATTAGATGTTTTTTTGTAGTTACTGATTGAATTTATAGTGAACTTATTCAAAAAAATTTTTTAATTTTTCAACATTTTTTGGCGTTTGTGTATTGTTTATTCAAAACATTTTAGAAAAAATTAATTAAGAAATTATCACAATTTTTCTTTGCTCAACCGCTGAAAGCAATTTATAAAACTCGATTATAAATTTATATATCAATAATAATAAAAGTAAATACACAAAAATAATAAAAATATAATTCAATTTTTTATATGAGTGGAATAAAACTCAACAAATAGCTATTGAGAGAAGAGCAGAAGTTGGCGAAGACAGAAACAAAAGAAACGGAAGAAAGGGGTGGAAGAAAACACATCTACTGGTATTATATCAGGTGCCAGTACAGGTAGAACCGAAGTAGTAACCAGTAACTAACCACAGAAAAAACTCAAAAAAGCGTCAAATATCGAGGTTTTAAGGTACGCTAGATTTCGAGCAGTTTTAGAACAGTGAAGGCTGTATGGGAATCATAAAATCTATATTTTAAAGCTTCTGCAACTCTGGATTCTACTTAATAGGGTAAAAAAACGGTTAGAAAGTCCAGAATTCCTGTTGGATTTAGCGCTTATATATATATAAGTTTCACGAATTGTCTTTTTTATCATTAGAGCTGCAGTTTCTAACAACAACTCTACCAAGAGCAGCAGAAAAAACAATAGAAAAATTATAACAAGAACAAGTAGTATTATAAAAAGTTTTAAAACATCTTTTGGCGAAAAAAGCTTGCTAGCATCAAACGCAATTGAGAAATTGATTTTTAGAAATAAACGTTTAGTTACTAATTTTAAAATAGTGCCCATTGATAAAAATAAATTTCTTTAATGGTGCTATGATGTGCCTTATCGAGATTAGCTTATTCTGTGTATTTTAAAGTTTCCCAATTATGCTTACGACCTATTTCACCACATTTGGAACATAATATATGGTCGTAAGTTCAAACGGACCACCGAATACGTATATGTCATATATGCAAATATCGTTAAAAATAATTTAATTTAGCAAAGTAAACCAACTTGCATTCTTAGACTACCTAATCATGCAACAAGAGAGGGAGTTGATTTCCAAGGTTCATGTAAAACCCATTAACTCAGGCAACTCAGGCGTTGTTTATAACTTTTTAAATCGGGCATATAAAATTTTATCAAATAATACTATATTTAATTCTAAACTGATCACGATTAAGCAATTCTTAATCAACAACAATTATCCCAATAGATATTATCCGCAAATATGTTCAGCACTCGTTAAACAAACTTTACCTATTTCAACAAAAACAGTAGTACCAATATTTTATCAAAATCAAATGCACGACAATCATAAAGTTGATGAAGTTCAACTCAGGAATATCGTCAAAACTAATGTCACTATGTGTAATGACGACCATCAACTTAAGTTTATCATTTATTATAAAACGAATCGAACATCTAACCATGTAATTAAAAACAGCAAGAACCATTCTACGAACTTCTTGGAAAAGAGTAACGAAGTGTACAACTTCACGTGTCCAATGTCACAAGGTGTTGTGGAAAATTAAGTTGGGTATTCACGTACAACTCTATCCAGAAAACTTACGATACACCTTCAGGATGGTGCTATTAAGAACCATATGCAAGATGTTCATGGTTCATAACTGACAAGATGCCAATACTAAAATATTAGATCGTGAATCGCTTCCAGCTCGTCTCAAAATCAAAGAAACCTTGTACATTTACAACAATAAGCCTAATATAAATAAACAATTCAATAAGTTCGACCATAGTAACCATTCGAACTTTATTCTCAGTACCGCCACGACATCCCTCAACATATGACTACCACAACGGATGCTAATCCACCTGAACGGCCAAGTTTTGTGTTTCAACCAGCTCCAAAAAACGCGCACCTATTTAACACATAGCAGCTGACTCGTCATCGTATCACCAACGTTACTGTTACAACGTTACAATTACTGCTTCGTTGATTTCCATGTTTGACAGTGCGACCTAGATGTCATGTTACGCGTGTTGTTGCATTGACCTGATCTAAACCAACTATAACAACAATATAAATTAACCCCTGAAATTTCATTTTACATGTTATTTTATTTAATTTTACTTCGTTTTATTGATATTATTTCTATCCACCATATTATTTTATCATTTAATTTTTATGTATTTGATTAACATTTAATCAATTTTATTTGGTTTTAGTAATATTATTTTAATCGTATACTTTACTTTTATTATTAATCTTTTATGTATTACATTTACATATATTAAATTTTATTTTAATCTTAATTTTGACTCATTAGATACTTCATTATTTCATCTTATTTATTATTCATCTCATTTTATTTTATTATTCTCTTTATTTTAATTACTTACTCGCCATAGTTAGTCTTATAATTCTTGTGCGTTATTCTCACATAGGTTGAATTTGATTCTGCAATTGACGTCATCCATTTATTACAACCAATCAAAACTACTATACACAACCTTCGTCAACGCAGGCATAACTATCAAGTCGCCACTCAATCAACATATCAGGAAAAGAAGACCTTCATTACAAGACACCTTAAATATATTAGCACTCAATAAAACTTTATAATTTACTCAATCTAGCTTTCTTTTTACTTATCGATCACCTCACTAAATCATTATCTAGTCCATCAATAAATTACTTTATGTCTTTTTATACCATTACTTTATTTTATTTTCAATACTTTTCATGTTTAAACATTTTTTTCTCCGTTTTTTATTTATTTATTCCTTTATTTTTTCGTTACTATTTTATGCCTTTCATGCTGTAACAGTTTCTGCGTCTGTCAGATTCTGATTTTTTAAAAAACAAAAAAATGGTGCTTTCCATAGCTTCAACGTTTAGTTTGTTTAGTTTCAATTTTAATCTAACTTTATTGACGTTTAACGTCTTGATTTTATATTTTTGCTTCGGACTAATGAAGGTTATTTCGCTAAATATTATATTTATTTCACTGTTAATATTATTTGAATTAATAAGTATTTTGATATTTTAATTGTATTCTCAAAGGCTTTGAAGATGGACATACCGAAACAGCGCTATCAGCCTTAACTATGTCTTCAAAATCAGTTTTTAAATACGAATTCAGCCAATTCAGATGTGTTGAAGTTATGTTTTTAAAAAATGAAAAAAGTAATAAATACAAAATGGGCGACTATTTTTAACGACTAAATATATATAAATTGAGGCTTTATTTTAAAACAGTAACTGTAGACCCGACCGCCGTTTCTGAATGTAAAAAAATTACAGACCCGGCGACCGGTTATAGGAGAGGGTGGGGTACGTTGAGACATGGGGTACAGAGACAAATCAAATAATTGTTAAGCGGTACATAATTTTTTCTTTAGAGTTAACCTAATTTGTACTTTAGTAGGACCGGTAGTTAACAATATAATTTTCTGCGACCAAAAATCGTGTGTTGCGTTTTTTAATTTTGATTTTTGATTTTTTGACAGATTTCTAGACATGTTTATATTTGGTTTGGAATGTAATTGTTCAATTATTTGTAATGATACTGTGTCACTCCTACATGAAAGTTTGACGTTTCAATAAAGAATTAGTTCATATAGAATATGACTGATGCTAAAGCGAAAGAGGCGGCATGTCAACAAGGTTTTTTTATACAGAGTAAGGGGGACGGTTGGAAGGTGGAAGATCATAAAGTTCATGAAGGGGACAGAAAATTAGATGATTTGTGTAAAAATGAAGGTTCATCAAACGGCTTTGTCAATAGATTGCTGAGCTTTGATGACAATTTCAATGATGGTAAAATATGCCTAGGACTATTAAATATCAGATCAATTGTATCCAAATCAAGTGATGTGTATGAACTCCTGGTTGATGGACTAGATGTGTTAGTGTTAACAGAAACATGGCATGGACATCAAAATGATATTTCTGTAAAATCGGCAATGCCTGACGGGTACAGTTATGTTGACTATGTCAGAAAACATGATCCATATCATGGGGGATTGATAATCTATTTTAAAACAGGGTTCAGATACACACGATTTGATTTACCATCATTAGCTACGTTTGAGGCAATAGTAACAAGAATAACATATGGTAAACATGAATTTGGTTTGTTGGCTATATATAGACCTGGATCAATGCCTATCACAACTGCTTTCTTTAGGAAACTTAGATGTTTTTGAAAAATTTGTCCTTGCTGGTTTCAGATCTTGTCTTGGTAAGTGATTTCAATGTTCGTGTCGATAGAGAAGAATGTCCACATACCAGATCATTGTTGGAGTATTTGATGATTTTTGTTTGAAGAATTGGATCGACCAACCCACTCATAACTTAGGTGGAACACTGGATTTGATTGTTTCCAGTAGTGGTTTGTGTATTTCTGATGTAATGGTTTATCCAAGTGGAATATATTCTGACCACGGGCTGGTTAAAGCTTGTTTGCCTTTTAAACGGAAACTAATCAGTAAATGCTACAGGGTGATCAGATCGTGGAAACATATTGATGAAAAAAAATTTATCTCGCTGGTCATTGGTTCACCGATTGGTAAAGCATGTTCAGGTACAGATGTTGACAAGTTGTTTGACCTATTTGAAAATGAAATAAGAAGAATTTTAGATATAATTGCACCGCTACACAGAGTAGAATGTCGTCATGATTCTGTGGTGCCATGGTATGATAATGAATGTCGGGAGCATAAAAGACTCTGTAGAAAGCTCGAAAGAAATTATAGGAACTCAATGTCAAATGATGGAAAAGTGCACTGAAATCAAAGAAGTTGGTTTTGGCCAAGAAAAAGAACTGTTTTTGGTCAAATTTGGTTAATGAGAATAGAAAAAGACCAAAACAATTATGGAATGCACTAAATAAACTACTTTGCAAAGCCTCTGTTGACAATATTGATAAGACTGAAACGGCGCACACTAGTGATGGCTTTCTAAAATTTTTTAACGATAAAATTGAACGAGTTCGAGATGCAACGGCTGGTAACAAATCAGTTTTTCTTGAGAGGGAGATTGAAATGGGCAGTGGGTTGCTAGTATTCCGGAAATATAGTGAAGAAGAAATAATAAAAATAATTACAAATTGTCCAACGAAAACATGTTTACTTGATTGCCTTACAACGTATTTCTTCAAAAAACACATTGGTTTGTTCTCTGGGTTTTTGACAAGTCTAATCAACTTGTGTTTGACTAATGGCATCGTTCCTGCATCCTTTAAACATGCAATAGTTATACCACTTCTTAAAGGAATAGATCATGATGTCAATGATATTACCAATTATATGCCAATATCAAATCTTCGCTTCATATCTAAGGTAATAGAAAGAATTGTCGCTAACGAGCTGTTAAACCATGTCTAAAAATAATTTGTTGCATAGTAATCAGTTAGGATACAGAAAATATCATTCGACAGAAACAGCCTTGTTACATGTTTTTTCAACTTTGTGCGCAGCGATGAATAACCAATATGTATCGCTGGTTGCTTTCCTAGATATGAGTGCAGCCTTCGATTGTGTTGATCATGATATTCTACTGCGGAGATTATGTGAAGATTTTGGTGTAAAGGGGACAGTACTCGCATGGTTCACATCATATTTTTCAAATCGTACTGAACAGATTTTTAACAATAAAACCTGGTCTAGAATTAAGAACATAAAATTTGGAGTTCCTCAGGGGTCGGTGTTAGGACCAATATTGTTTCTGTTGTACACACATGAGATCCTGGATGTCATCAAGTCCTTTGGATTCACGGGGCATGCCTTTGCTGATGATATACAGATTATTGCTAGTTGCCCGCCAGATGAGTTTGATGAGATGGGTAACAACTTAACACGTTGTCTGGCAGAGGTCAATAAATGGATGATTAAAAACAGACTAAAACTTAATCAGAGTAAAACAAAACTATTGCCGGTAGGAACCTGGCAACAGCTTTCAAAAATAAATATCTTATCACTGGATATAGATAATGTCAAAGTGGAATTCTGTACAAATGCTTCAAGTTTGGGCGTTAACATTGATTCTAAGTTAACGTTGGATCATCACATAAAATCATTGATGAGAGTTTGCACTTTCCAACTACGTAGGTTGAAATTGATAAAAAAATCGCTAGACGAAAATACTCTTAAGATGTTAATGCATGCATTCATCCATTCGCGTTTGGATTATTGTAACAGTTTGTTCAACGGCTTACCAGAAAAATCATTTGGGATGTTACAGTCAATTCAAAATCGTGCGGGTAGAGTTGTGTCTGGTGCCTTTAAATACGACCATGTTTCACCAATTTTAAAGCAACTACATTGGTTGTCTATCAAAAATCGTGTTCTGTTCAAAACTTGTGTATTAATTTTTAAACGCATCAATAATTGTGCACTTAGATATTTGATAGACAAAACAACACGAAGGGCACCTCATTATGTCAATTTGCGATCTGATGAGTCAAATTACCTGGCTGTACAGACAAGCCAGTTAAGAATAGGATCTAGAAATTTTGCTGTTTTGGCTCCTAGGATATGAAACAATCTCCCAAGCCATTTACGGGATCCTGGTCTGAATTTGTTGACATTTAGAAGGCTGTTAAAGACTTATTTGTTTTCATTCTAACATTGTTTTTGTTTTTGCATTTTGAGAGCGCTTTTGATAAATTTTACATTTTAATTGGCGCTACATAAGTTGTAATAATAATAATAATAATAATAGAAGCCAAATTTTTATTCCAATTGGTTTTGGCACTACGTCGAATAATTATGTCAACGACTGTGTGGGGTAAATAGAGACAACAATGATGGGGCACAGTGAGACGTATGGGGTACCTTGAGACAATAACAAAACTGATGTTAAACATAATTTTTTAATTAAAATAATTATTAAATGATTATATTATTATTATAATAATTGATTTGCAGACAAAAATGAGAAATAGGATAAGAAAAACCAGCAATGGCATGTTTTTTGAAGAAACCATGCGTCGTGCTGTAGGCGAAGTAATGAATGGTGATTCTTTACAAAAGGTAGCTTATGTTCATGGCTTGTCATTCCAAACATTGGCCCGCTATGTCACAAAAGCATCAGTTGCGCATCCTGGAAAAATTGTCAAATTCAAACCAAACTATGTAACTTGGAGAATATTTACAACAGAACAGTCTGGAAGAATATATCTTGACAAGTCCAAAAATGATGTATGGAATTTCAACAAAAGAGTGTAGAAAAATTGCATACGAGATGGCCAAAATTAATGGAATTAGATTTCCAACAACATGGAAAACTGAAAAATGCGCAGGTTTAGAGTGGTTAGGTTGTTCATGAAGCGGCATCAAACTCTTAGTATTAGAAGCCCTGAAGCATGTAGTCTCTCACGGGCTACATCGTTTGACCGGCAAAACATTGGTCAATTTATAAAAATTCAAAAGATTTTCCTGAAATCACCACAGTTCTGTTTCTGATTATCTGGATCTTGCTCTTAGTGGGCCTTGTCCATCCGTTTCAGATCGCTGGATCCTACTCATAATAAATTTAGTTCAACGTCTAGCTATACTGGACAGCTAGCACCTGTTACATTTTTAACGGCGGAGCAGTTTAAGGGATATCCAAAAGCAGGAAATAGAAAAACAAACAACATAGGTAGAAAAAAAGTCTCATAGCTACTGACACTCCAGAAAAAGCTTTTCTGGAAGCTAATAATACAGATAAAAAAAATTACACCTACATTGAAGGACAAAGCCAAAAAAAATGTTTATTAAAAGACTTTACTATAACAGATCCTAAGGAAGTTAACAAAAATAAAAATAGAAGAAATGCACTGTCAACCAATGAAGACCGATATATACACTATCTTTGGATATACATTACGTTCTCCATTGTTGTTCCTCGTGTTCCATCGTTGAGATTTTTAAGTGTTTTAGTAATTTAGTAGTTTTGAGGCAAATTTTCTTGTTAATTTGTTTATTATATTGCTTGTTGAAAGAGAAAAATTTGTTACTTTTGTAGATTAAAAAAAATTATCTGAATATGAAAAAGAATCTTTTGTGAATTATATTGTTGCTGATTCAACAACGGTTGAAAGAGCACGAAAGAAGCAACCCAATAAAACATTCAGGTTAGCAATTTAAAATTTGAACGAGAGTCTAGATCTTACCAAAGAATACGCAGAATTTTATTCAAACCTCGAGCAAGGCAAATATGCTCATTTCTACAATTTAAGAAGCACTGACAGAAAATATCAAGCAGGCGATAAGGTAGTCGTTTTATCAACAAATTTAGGAGAAGCTAAATTACATAATCGCTGAAGGGTACCCGGAGTAAAAGTAGAAGTAAAACCCCCTTATTCGTATATTATTGATATAAAGGGGAAACGGCAGTACGTTCACGCCAATAAAATTAAACAATATCATGAGCAAGTTGCACTCTTGTAAGAGAAAAAGAATTCAGAATTAGGTATAATAAAGAGGTTTGATAAACTCAATCAGTATAAACTGGATCCTCAAAAATTAGAATATCTATTTACGTTAAGGAAGGATAGATTATTAGGTTAATGCAGCTACAACAGCAGACTTTTTTCAATCGGCCAGGGCTTATTGGAATAATTGAACATGAAATTAAAAGACTACCCGAATTCAAACCAAAACAATTTAAACCCTACAAAGTGCCAGAATTATTGAAGTAATCGGTAAAAATACAAATCAAAGATATGTTAAATACAGGAATTATTGTGCCGTCAAAAAATGAAATGGTAAGCCCAATTGTTTGCATTTTGAAAGACTCCGGAGATGTAAGACTCGCCATAGACTATCGTTATGTAAATACATTTTCTGCCAGTGATTGTTTTCCAAATCCAGATATACCAAATGTATTACAGCGAGTAAGAAGAGCCAAATATATCAGTTGTTTCGACGCAAAATCTGGGTGTTTGCAAATTCCGATGAAACAAGAATTCCAATGGCTCAACGCCTTTGTTTGTGAGGATGGCGTGTTTGAGTTTACCCGGATGCCGTTTTGGTCTCAAATACGTTTGTCCGAGGAATGACACAAATTTTAAGGAATATTAGGCAATTCACTGAACCGTTTGTGGATGATATTGCGGTATTCTCAGATACCTGGGAAGATCATATAAGACATTTAGACCAATTTTTAGCCGTGATACAGGAAGCGGGATTAAAGTTAAATATGGCAGAAATTACACTCGCTCAAAGTAAAGTAAAATTTGTGGACATATAATTGGATCCGGGTCCATTGATATAGAAAAAACAAAATTAGAAAATTTGAATAGAATGAAACCACCAACGACGAAAAGGGATTTAAGAAAGATGATCGGTTTCTTTAGTTATTTTAGAAACTTTATCCCGATGTTAGCAGATACAATATATGTCATTACCGATCTCACACGCAAAACGGCACCCAATAAAGTGCAATAGAAAGAAATTCATCAACAGGCATTTAATAAAATAAAGCAACAACTAATGAAAGCCACCGCAACACATACCATTGACTTTACTAAAGAATTTGGTATTTATGTGGATGCTAGCATGGCAGCGGTAGGTGGATGTTAGACACAATGGTCAGATGACAGGAAGGAGTTGCCTATTGCTTTTGCAAGCAAGAAGTTAACGCCAGCACAAACAAAATGGTCAACGATTGAGAGAGAGGCATTCGCTGTTACATGGATATTAGAGAAATTTCGACCGTGGATATGTTTGTCCAAGATAATTATATTTTCCAATCATAATTCCTTGAAATACTTATTAGAAACAGCACCTAAAAGTGCTAAATTGAACCGATGGGTCGTATCATTACAAGAATATAACATAGAATTTAGATATCATCCAGGTCGAAGTAATGTGGTAGCCGATTTTTTATCACGAAATCCATTAAGTAATAACTCAGATTTACATAATGATGAAGAAATAATGGATAATAATAATGATAAATGAAAAGGTGGCTGAAGAGAAGACAAGAGTGGATTGTACAAAGAGGATTGGAGGTTGAACGATAACATCGTTATCCCCTCGTCATCGTTTTTGGGTTGGGGATATGTCAGAGATATCGCTAATGGAAATTAAAAGTAGTAACTGAACACTACATGTATGGATTTGGATATGTGTATACGATATGCGTGCATACGGCGTGAGTGTGGAATAGAGTTGAATCGAAGTTTTAAGTGAATGAACGTCATTAATTGCAATTTTGAAAGTTATTAAATCGTAATTTCGAACGTTAACAATTGTAGTCTTGTACGGATTTGAAAGGCAGTTGTGAACGTTGTTGAATCGATTTTTGAACGAAATGACCATAAAATGTTATATATTATTAACGTTTATGAATTATTAAGTATAATTTATGAATTGATGATTTCTGTTAGTTTATCATAAATAATCAGTTTCGAAAATAATCAGTTTGTTTTGTTTTGTATTGAATTAGAAAGAACCTAACAAATGGTGTTATTATTATTATTGTTGTAGTTGATGTTGTTTGTGTTAATGGCATTATCGTTGTTGTTATAATTATTGTTGTTGTTGTTAGTGTCATTACAATTGTTGTTGTTGTTATTATTATTATCGCTGTTATTGTTGTTGTTACTGTTAATATAATTGCCATTGTTGTTAATGTAATTACCGTTGCCGTTATTGTTGTTAACGTTATTACCGTTGTTATTGTTATTATCGTTGTTGTTATTGTTATTGCCTTTATAGTTATTGTTGATAATGGTGACAATATTATTATTGCATATTTTCCATTGGCGACGTTCAAGCTACCATTAATGTTTGTTTGGTTACTGAAAAATAACGAATTTGAAAGATTGCCCAAGTGTTGAAGTCTAAATTAAAATTCTTGCAAATGGCCGTTGATAAATCTAGCATAAAATTGGTTTGATGGCAGAGCCGAATTTACCAATAGGCTATAAAGGCTGGAGCCTAGGGTGGCAAATTTTAGACTATTCTTGTGTGGTCTGCATGGTTATAATGATAGTTGTAATCGTGTACTTTCGTTATAGATGTACTTGTATTATATCTTTTTATGAAATAATACACTGATTTTCTTAAATGAAAGTAAGGCAAAAAAAAAATGGAATTCTAAATGTACTATTGAATAAAAAACTTGCATTTTGTATTACCAACAATCTATTGATCAAGTAATTTGAAATCAATCAATCAATCAACCAATTAATTTGTAAAGCTCTATTTCCGCGATGTTCAACAGCGCTCCTCGGTGAATTTTGCAAACAGATGGTCCTTGGGATTCGCTCTGAACTTCGTAAGTGATGGAGAAGTAGTCAGAGAGTTATAAGAGAGTTGCAGATTTAACAAAAGAGTGTTCAAAAGAGGTTGAATAAATATATCTGATAAATACTTATGAAATAATTTAGATTGAGACTTATACATTAATGTGCAAATTTTTTAAATTATTCTATATTTTTTAGGCAGCCAATGCAAGAGAACAAGATATGTTGATGTATGAGAAAAGAAACAGGCACGAGCAACCAGACAAGCAGGAGAATTGAAAGCTATAGAGTGAAATAAAAATGTTTGATTTCGTATTACTATTTTTTACTATAAACTATGAAATTTTTATGAAATTTTTGATGTTGATTTCATTTTTTTTTTTGACTGAATAGTTTGCACGGATATTATTTTACCCAGAGCACTAAGAGAACGTGAAAAAAGATTAAAATTCACCATTTAAGATAAATAACTTTATATATTTTGCTAGTAGATGTATTAAATATTGTCTGTTAATAATAATAAAAAGTTAAGTAAACGCGAGGCGGCAAAATTTTTTTAAGCCTAGAGTGCCAAACTCTTAAACCTACCTCTGTTTGATGAATGTACAAAAAAATGTCACAATGTAAATGCTATAACAAAGGCGTAAATTATGAAAACAACAAAAATATTACAAACCACCATCGATCCTTCTTGATAGGCAGGCCAACTGCATGAATACACAATAGGCCTACCTGTTCTGTTTAACCAGAAGCCCATTGCTGGGTAGCCTGGTGAATAATAATATGTAAAAGATATGCATGTTTAAAATGGTCTGAATAAAAATCAAACTATAATGGTTTTATAATTATTTGCCTTCATCAAACTGCTCTATTTCAGCATAGCATCCATCCATTTTGAAGTAATCTACACCCCACTCTGCAAATGTATTTGCATCAGCTTCAAGATAATATATACTGCCAGGATATCCTCCACATGTCAATGTTCCAAAATCCCCATAAATCCCAAATTTCAATCCTTTGGAGTGAATCTAAAAATTTGTGATTAGTGAACAATAAGACACGCTTTGAAATTAAATAAGAATGGAATAGATGTACAAAGCTTACATAGTCAGCAAGTTTTTTTATTCCACTTGGGAATCGGTTCTTATCAGCTTGCAATCTTCCATTTTGATCTCTTTTTTTCTCAGACCAGCAGTCATCAATAATTACATATTCATATCCAGCTTTTTTGTAGCCCCCAGAAGCCATCTTGTCAGCCATATCCATGAACAATTTTTCACTTAAAATTTAGTTTCATTAAAAATTAGTAAATTTAAAATTTTGAAAAATTCATTTTAACTTAATATATATATAGATAAATATAATTATTATTTATATTGACTAGAAAAAATTATAACACCTGATGCAGTTGTTAGGATCATTTTTACAATCAACATTGCAACGAAATCTTTCCCAACTGAGCCAACCCATTGGTGGAGTCCGTGTCAAGCCATTGTCTAGTGCCAGAATCTTCAGCAGGCAAGAAGTAAAAATAATGGCAAATAAAATTGCTCTTCCAACCAAAAAAACTGAAACATTGATACTCATTTTGGACATCTATGTTTTAGTAGTGCCACGACACAACCAAAACTAAAATAATTTAAATTTTAAAATTTTAAATAAATAATAGAATCCTAAATTAAAATTTTATTGATTCAATTTCAAATTAAAAATACGAAATATTTCTTATGTAACTTGTTATGTGTGTTAATGTGTTAATTTAGGACAGTACTGTCACATTACTTTTGAAACTTCTTATTTATTTCTTTTCTCTACTCACAGATTCACGTGTCTCACTTTTTATTATGACTTACCTTACCATCAGTGAAAAATGAAAATCAGGTTGGGGTTGATGTTTTTTTGGCTGAACAAGCCGGCCAGTGAAGTAGTTAAGTAGATTAGATTAGTAGCATTAGTTAGTTAGTACTTTACTTTAGTAGTTTTAAATTATCATTAGAGATTAGAGTTAGACATTAGATTTAGAAGATTAGCATTAGAGATTAGACATTAGGACAGGTAGAAAAGAGTTTAAAACTTTATAAATTTATATTTCACCAAATTCAGCCATTTTTAACGCTAAAAATAATTAACGTACACTAAAGAATAATTTTTTAGTGGAAGAAATGGCTAAACGCTAGTTATCGAATTTCATTAAATTAAATTGAACGATCTCGGCGGAGAAAGCCAATATGTATGAAATGGAAATCCCCAGCAACACATCTAGTGAGTTTACGAAAGATTAAAAATGAGAGAGCTTTTAATTAAACATATAACTTCCATTCCTATTCATGCATATATAAATATATAAAATAAAATATATATGTATATATATATATGTGTGTGTGTGTGTGTGTGTTATATAGAACATTAGCATACCCATTTATATATATATATATATATATATATATATATATATATATATATATATATATATATATATATATATATATATATATATATATATATATATATATATATATATATATATATATATATATATATATATATATATATATATATATATATATATATATATACACATATATATATATATATATATATATATATATATATATATATATATATATATATATATATATATATATATATATATATATATATATATATAT